TAATATATTAACTATATCATTTTCTGTAGTTTGGCTTTTTGGAAAGTTTGGTTCAAATGATCGTCGGAAAGAGTGTTGATTAGTAAAAATGAAAGAATGCCAATTAGCAAAAATACAAATAATATATAGATAATTGATAAATACCTTCAAAAATTTTTTTTTGTATGCTAAGATCAAAACACCAAGCTCTTACAAAGATAAAGGCTAGAAAAACACACAAAAGATGTACAGAAGAAATATTGTATAAATTTAAATAGTTATATAATTAGATCTTAAAAAAAAAACCTTTAATTGTTTTTTTTTTTTACTGTGAAATTCTGATCTCACAAAGGCAAAGAAAGATACAAAAATAAATTTTTTTTTTATGTGAAAATCTAGTTTCCAAAGAGCCTTAAAGGTGAAGAAAGACACAAAAAAAGAAATACAGGCCAGTGCAAGTATTTAAGTGTAGCTTTTAACACCAAATTTCATTTTTTCCAAAATATTTTAACTCATCGTAACTTACAAGTTATTGGATTGTGGTTATTATCAAGATAATCATTTTATGTAGTACAAGCACTTAAGTGCGCATCATGCGCATGCAGGCATGACATGATGCTGCGGCTGCCCATCTCTACATGTACCGCATCTCTCTTACGTCAACCATCGGAGCTAAACTCGGCATGGTTGTCAGAGGCTCCCCCATTCGATGAAGACGCTAGTAGAATGATTTGGTATTGCAAAATAATTTTTTTATATGTTGCACATCGAGTGAAGGATCAGTCGTATAACATCGATGGTTCCTCCTGTTATTTTTAACTATCTGGGAAGTGCCAAAATTACGGTTTTGACATTTATATTATAAATTTATCAAAAACGTAATTTTTGGTCATCAACGGGCATTTGATTGTCAACAAAATCATGTTTTGATTGACATAAATTATCCATCATGCTGATCAAACGCGAATTCCTTTATTCGTTTCGCAAAATTTTTTTATTAACACTTTTTTCTTATTGATCCTTTCCAGTTGAAATGACTAGATGGTAAGTATAATCACATAAATTACATGAACTGATAAAGCATCTTTAAATATTCGGTTTCGTGTATGCTTTTGTCACTAATGAATGAGCAACTAATGTTCTTTTATTCACGATCAAAGATTTTATTATTGAATAGAATCAATAGAGTACTTCATTATCAATTACAGTTGACTTATACTATTACGATATTTTAATTTTTAGTGTAACATATTTGTAGCCATGGCTACTGTAATCACATCCCATTAAAAGCCAATCAATCAAACATAATCAAATTATTCAAATTATTGTAACTCAAAATTTAGTATATGAAACTACTCTTTGGTTCTAACAAAAAAAAATAAAATTTATTGCTAAATTTTACTATAAAACACCCCTTTTCGCCTACATACTATCCTAACATATTAATTCTAAAATTTTCACTATCGATATATACAGAACGATACTATATCTTACGTTTAATACACTCTCATCCAACAAAATCACCACCAGTAGCAGCTACAAGTAGTGTCACTCCAACAACCAGTACTACCACAACCGAATAGGTTTTCGAAAAATGGTTTCTTTAATTTATGTTAGAGATTGGCATAGTTATATTCAATTTAACTGAGGTAATAATTTTTAGATTTTTCTTTTTTGAGAATGATTTGTTGAATCTGATATCGAGGATCAAATAAAAAAAAATCATAATGATAGTTGTAAAATAAATATTATCTGGGCTACTAAGCCTATCAAAAAATTGATGAAACATCTTCTGACGTTTGTGATTAATTATTTTATTTTATTTTTTTATTTTATTATTGTTTGTTTTTTATTTTCATCTATTATTACAAGGATATTGAAGAAGATCGTGGGATGAATGACTTCACAATCTTACAATGTTTAGATTTTTTCATTTTAGAAATGTGAAGGAAAACGTGAGTTAATATAGAATTTTCTATTAAATAATTTGATAAAAAAATATTAATCATTTATTTATTTATTTATTTAGTTACGGTCATGTACACTTCTATACTCGCGAAGACGCAGGATGGATTTATTTTTTTTTACGATGCAAAATAGACCTTATAAAGGAAGATTGCAAAAAACGAAATATACTTCAATACTCGCGAAGATGCGGGAGACTTTTATTTTGCAATGCAAGGTAAACCCTATAAAGGTCCCTTAGGAGATTGCAAAAAACGAAATACTTCTATAGTCGTGAAGATGCAGGAGATTTTATTTTCAATGCAAGGTAAACCCTTTAAAGGAACCTTAGGTACTACTATTAGATTTCAAAAAATGCAATACTATAGATGGTCACCAAAAGCAGGAAAATTGGTCGAAGGTAAATATGTTATATAATATGAGTGTCGCCAAGAGAAAACCTAACTTCAAGCTTTTGAATTATTATCGACCGGAATCAGCCCTGCATGATCTGAGTAGTGATTTATGATACGTAATCGAAAAAATATTTCGTTGAAACTATCTTTAGGAGTTGAGTTCGGTAAAAAATATAATGAAAGCCTGAAGTTCTAATTTTTCCTTGGCGTCACCCATATATATTTTAAAAATTTAAATTATTATGAATTTTATTTATTATTTATTTATTTAAATATATTTTTTTATTCTTGTTTTTTATTATTACCGTTTTTCCAATATCTAATAAATTGATTTGTAATTTTACAATCATATGATGATAATTTTAGGTGTTTGAATTAGAGTTGGCACTCGAAACGAGACCTTCCCGAAACTAGTTTCGGATTTTCTAAAACTATAATCCGAAACCCAACGAAACTATAATCTAAAATTCCTGAAAATTATAAATTAAAAATAAACCAAAAAAAATTTAGACTAACAAAGTAATAACAATAAGTAATAAATTAATCATTCTATTTATTTCAAATAGCTCAATAAACGGAATATTTATTATAGCCAGAAAGTATTATAATTATGGTTTTTCTAAGCATTTAAAATATTGCCTTTTAAAATGATTATAATCCTCCAATTTATGCAATATCACTGTTTTTATTAATAATACCAAGCCATTTGTTACTATTGTTTTCTTCAATTATTTTTTGTTGCTACGTCCTGGATTCAAATAAATAATCAGAGTTATAATCTTCCGGAAGCACATTAAAAATCAAATCTACAAGATTTTTGGTTCATTTGCATTTTCTTTATTAGTTTTTGTACTTCATTTCGATTTTCATTCTTTTTTTGTTTATTGTTAATGGAATTTGGTTATGGCAATCAACATATATTTTTAGAATAGTGTGTTTATTGGACTTTATGCTTTTAATGATTGCTTTTCACTTTAAAGAATCGAAGAAAAAAATCACTTACTAAATAAATTATAGTAATATTTTGATAATGAACTGACAATATCATATTATTTTCAAAACTTCTTTGGGTGGCGATTTTACCTTGGTCTAAATTGATTATGCTGAAATCAATGATTTATCGAATCAGCAGAATACCTAGAGATGGGCACGCGCGGGGTTTTAATATGATCCCGAAATAAGATTTTTTGGCCGGCATTACCATAATATCTGGTAGCATTAATATAATATCTAACCTGCATTAACATATTTAGCTAATCTCTAATTAAAATTTATTTATTTATTTGCATACCATTTCACACATATGTTTATTTATATATACGATAAGAATTTACCTT